GTGGGTCTGTCGGTTGGAGGAAAGAGAAGAACAATGGTTTTGTTTTTGGCGGCTAAGGAAGGAGAGGAGATTCAGCCTAGGGTTTCACACCCGAGGCTTCACACCAACGTTCGACTTCACACCAAAAATTAGCTAACAACATATTTTATTCAATTCTTCATTATCTTTTCATTCTGATTACAATAATGTTTTTATAGACTAACTACAAAATCTCTCAAAATTAATGAGATTCCTCAAATCACTCAAATATTAAAAACTGATTAACTACTAAATTTAACCTAAAATTCAAAATTCAAAATTTAAAAATAAAAAAATCCTACCAAAATAGAAAAATTCTTCAAATTTCTCACAATTAAAACTAAATTAAGATCTGATCAAACTCTCCAAATCTTTCTTATTCAAAACTAAAATAAAAGAAAGTCAAATATCAAATATTAAAATTTCCATTATTGCCCTCATCATTCTCCTATAAAATAAAATAAAGTCAAATAACAAATATTAAAATTTCCATTATTGTCCTCATCATTCTCCTCGGGTGGGTAGTTGCAAAAATTTGTCATCTTCAATATATTTTGCCTGTATCTTAATCTGCCGTTAGTTACTTTCATACATCTCAAATCATTAGCTAGATGACATCATAATTTCACCATCTAAAATATTATCAAAATTCACTGCTGTATGGATGAATATATAGAAGTGAGGTAAAGAGAAAGAACTCTCAGAAATAATTGGCTAGAGTCAGGCTTATATCAGTGGATTGTCAATAAACATTGTGAACTGCTTAATCAATCAATATTGAGAATAAAACTATGACCAAATCGATAATATAAATGGTGCCATTAATTATTTCAAGAGTTGGAAAAGTTCATAAATATCATGTCAAATCTCAAACAGCTATAACAGAAACTGTATTGGACAAGGCCAAACCATCTCAAACATTAATAGTTTTAAATTATGTTCTGACTCCATATCATATATTTCAGTTAACGATGTATTTATTCAAATTAGATCACTGATTCCCTAATATATGATCAATGCAAATCAAAACAAGATGTATTTATTCAAATTAGATCACTGATTCCCTAATATATGATCAATGCAAATCAAAACAAAATGATGCAAATCAACTCAAATGACTATGTAGATTCCCTAATATATGATCAATGCAAATCAAAACAAAATGATGCAAATCAACTCAAATGACTATGTATGACATGCAGACTCGAACAATGCGATCAATGGTAGATGTAAACTCAATGAAGTGTCTAACATGCATGACATCCTCTATCAAATGGAATAATTAGGCGTTCCTTCGTTAATATGCATAACAAATTTCCTGTTATAACAATGATAGTGAGGAACATGTAAACAAATGCATGAAAGAGGAGTGTTTTTGTGCGCTTAACATAAGAGAGAAAGGAAATACTTTGTAACGTATGCGGTTCATTTAAAATGTCAAGCTTAGGTCGAATATCAATGAAAACACTCGTGTTCAAACCTGTATCCCTAATCACTATATATTTCCAGAATGAATCAATGTATATGTGAGTGATTGTCGGGACAATGCATGGTGGTTTGATATCTAATATGAGAGTTATTTCAATATGCTTAGTTTGGGATTCAACCTCCATACAGATATCTGAGTGAACGTGTTGGATGTCATGTATAGATTGGATGTCATGTATAGATTCATGTTTGTCCGAGAGGACTTCATGGGGAACATTAACAATGTTTTCAATCACTGGAGTGAGTTCAGGAGGAGTTGAAGTTTTAATTTCAGGAACAACTTCAGAGACAACGTCAATAAACTCTGTGGTCAAATGGGTAGTTTGGGGAATAATCAGAGTGTCGTTATTGCATGAAACTTTAGTCAATTCCACAATTGCAGGGGTAGTTTCAGAAGAAACAAAAGTGCATGGTTTTTCAATTTTACTATCCCGGATTTTCTTGTCAAAGTTAGATTCTGTCAAATCTACGACGGTTTGCTCAAGAATAGATTTTTATTCTGTTATAGGCGGCTTATTAATTTTAATTGGAGTGAGGTATTTTCTTTTTAGCTCGTCGATCATTTCTCGTCAAGTTAAAATTGGTAACTTACCTCTAATATATCTTAACATTTCGAGTTTGGTCCAATATTGACAGGCTGGTCTGGTAAACTTCATTGCTGCAAACTTGAGGTTCCGCTGTTCCGTCAAGGCGTACCAATTGAAGTAGCGATTCATATTCTTTAGCCAGTCCAAAAAAGCTTGTGGGTCGAGCTTACCATCAAAAGTTGGTGGATCAGGCATAGGTTGAGGTGGAGGTCGATGAACGAGGTGCCCATAACCTTGACCTTGCGGAGGCGGAGTTGCAATACACGCTTCTTCTAGCCTAGCGAGCCTCTCGTTGGTTACGTTTTGGAAGTTTGTCAAGATCTCACGGGTAGCTCTACACTCCTGGACTATGGCACATATTTATTCTGCTAGCTCATCGAATCTCTTAAGGAGTACGAGACCTGTACTGTCTGACATGCTGGTCTCACTAGGCGATTCACTACTCTCCTAATCGATAGGGTAGACCTGTGCGAGTGGATATGCACTAATAACTAAATGAGATGAATGATAATTTTTTATATAACAAATAAAAGACTCAATTAAACTAAGCAAAAAATTTTCTAACCTAGAACTATGCTCTGATACTAAAAATGATGTGAAACGAGACAGAGGGTCTATCAAAATCAACGATTTAAATCAAATAATGCATCATTTCACCAAATTCCATGATCTTTGGCAGGAAATTAAATTCAAAACAACTAATGTGACAGATAGATTTAACGAAATTTGCATAAATAATTATAAATAATTCCAATCTCGATCAATTTAGCTGCTATATTCATTATCATGCTCAAGTTCTACAATCAATATCAAATTTAAACAGTCACATGATCAATTACTCTCAACTCATAAATATAATCTAAACAGTGAATATATGATTAGAGTTTAGAGATGGAATACTCATGCAATTAACTAATAAAATAAGATTAACAGTAAAATAATTTATTGGGCTATCAAGTGGTGATGGTCGACGGATGAACTGGCGACAACGGTGTCGAACTGACAACGATGACGGCGGCAAACTGAGTGATGACGGCGGCGGCGAACTGAATGACAACAAGGTCGACAGGGCTAGAGCGATGTGATGACCCATGGGCAGGCGGCTGTGGAGGAGGGGATCAGGGTCGATTGCTGTTCGGAGGAGGGAATGACGCAAGCGGTGGGTTGAGGGTTTTGCAGTTGATATGGAGGTGGTAGGGAGGCGGGCGTGGTATTGGGGCGCCTGAGGACGGGGGGGAGGGAGCCGGGGAAGGAAGCGCGCCTTGTGGGGTGGGTACTCGAGTTTAAAAGGAGAGGGCAGGGGAGAGAAGCGTGGCCAGGAGTTGGTAGGGGCGGCTGGCTGGAAGGCAGATCTGGAGGGGGGGAAGGGGCGGCGAACTGGTACGGGTAGGAGAAGATCAGGGATGAGGAGGTAAGGCTGTTGAAGGCGGGAGGAAGAACGAGCATTCGTGGCGTTGTGGGAATGGGGAAGGAAGGCGGCAACGATTCTGGGGGGAGCGGCGGCTTAATGGACTGGAGTTAGGGTTAGCAGGGAAGGAGGAGAAGAGTCGGAGGTTGAGGACGATGGGCAGACAGTAGTGTTATGGGGGAGCGACAGGGAGAGGGGGAAGTGAGAGTCTGTCGGTTGGAGGGAAGAGAAGAATGAGGGTTTTTGTTTTTGGCAGTTGAGGAAGGAGAGGGAGATTCGGCCTAGGGTTTCACACCGAGACTTCACACCAACATTCGGCTTCACAGCAAAAATTAGCTAACAAAGTATTTCATTCAATTCTTCATTATCTTTTTATTTTGATTACAACAGTGCTTTTATAGAGCAATTACAAAATCTCTCAAAATCAATAAGATTTCTCAAATCACTCAAATACTAAAAACTGATTAACTACTAAACTTGACCCAAAATTCGAAATCCAAAATTCAAAATTCAAAAATTAAAATACTACCAAAATAGAAAAATTCCTCAAATTTCTCACAATTAAAACTAAATTAAGATCTAATCGAACTTGCCAAATCTTCCTTATTGAAAACTAAAATAAAAAGAAAGTCAAATAACAAATATGAAAATTGCTATTATTGTCCTCATCATGGATAGCACATCCTATAATATTCATATACTTTCTAGCATATCATGTGAATCATATTCAAACTCATTGTTCATATTTTACTGATCACAGGTCCTTTTGCGGATAATGAAATTGCGAAGGTATCATGGACGTGTTCAGTTCGTTCCTGCTCCTGGGTATGAAGCATTTGGTGAACCTCTGGAGCACAACAGGAACGGGGAAGTAGTCAGCAGTACATCAGCGCAAAGTCATGGGAATGATTCTCCAGCCGAGCAAGGTGGTTATCAGGGTCCTTCAATTTGCTCCAATAGTTTAGAATGGAGATATCTAGATGGCCCATTTGTTAATGTTTGGCTTAACAATGTCCCCTGGTCTGGTGAAGACATAATGCCTGCACCTGAAGCAAAGGTTGTTCTTTTGGTCATCATTGGGAATATTTTCTTTCTTGCTGTTGTCATTTTGTTTTAACTGATGATTTGTATAAAAGTACATTGTGTTTCTTGGAATTTGTTGCAGTTCTCAGATGGCTACCTTGATGTGGTTATAACTCGGGACTGTCCAAAATCAACCATGCTATCGTTGATGTTGAAGATGAATGATGGAAGCCATGTCAAATCGCCGTATGTTATGTACTTTAAGGTGTGTCACTATGTTTAAGAAAGCAAGTATTCTCTTGATTAATGCTTATCTGGTGCTTAGCAGAAGATTTGAAACCAACCATGGATTCATGGATTTTGTTTGGACTTTTCGAATCAACGGTAGTTACTTTTTCAGAAAAGGAAAGCTTTAAAGCCACCTAGATAGAAAACTGTGATTATTATGAAAAACTTCCATTGCGAGAGCATATGTGTGTGGTTGGACTTGAAGGCTTAGTATTCTGTTAGAAGTGAACAGTGAGTTTTATATTTACCGGATAGGACCACCATCAGATTAATCTGAATGGCCTACTGGTGGTTCATTCTTGATCGAGCTGGTGTTTGCCCCTGATAGTTGTTAAAAAAATAAATGCATATCTCAGTTTTGTCACTGGTCGGTCAAAATTTGCACCCTTTTCAGCCGTGAGGTTGAGTTTTCCCCATTTTTTATCCCGATCTCCACCTTTCTAGCAACCTCTGCTTGTGTAGGAACATACATACCACTTACATGTCTTGGTATGTTAATTCATTAGCTAATAACTTCATATATAATGTGATATGACACAAGTCTCTGAATCATACAGGTGAAGGCATTCAGGCTAGAGCCAGGGCAGCGGGTAGGAAACTCCAAGAAGGGAGGCATCATCGACTCTGATGGAGAGGTTCTTGCGAGGGGGGATGGGACCCATGAGTGCCATCAGCGTTCCGGTGATCTTATGACATATGGCCCTCCCATCGAGATGTTCGTCGACAAAGGCCTGGCAACCATTTTCTCCCCCAAGCAATGAAATTCTTCTTCTTTTTCTATGTCAATTTACTTTTCTTTCTTTGGAACTGTCATGTGCTGATGTGATTATGCATGCTCGTACAAATGAGAGCGTGAAAGGAAGAAAAATATTTTAGTGCCATCCTTCCCTTTCTTATGGAGCATTGTATATAATATTGGAATACTGCGTATATAGTATATAAGCATTGCTAAGTTATTTAACAAAATAAGGGGCCAAGAAATAAAATCCATTTGATTAGATCCGATATGCCAGCGGAGTAAGTCTCAATGTTCGTCTATATATTATAATCTTGTTTTATGATGTCTCTAGTTGCATAATGGCATGTTTTTTGGTGTTTAAATGCTTTTAATATGTATGATGTTATGCTAGGCATGTTTTGTCTCGTCAACGTCTAGTTGCATAATGGCATTTTATATGACCCATCTCAAACCTGCAGCCCATTACTGTAGCGGGTCGAATCTGATCTACGATTGATACGAGTTGCCGTGTGAGCATCTTTGATCGCGGAATTATCAAAGGTGGGTTGAGAAGAGGATGACAGAAACACAAGCACGATACAGTATATGGCGAATGAAATTACCTTCTCTAGATTATGAGTATGAAAAGATTACAATTCCTCTCTCACAATCTCACTAGAATCGAGAATAAACTCTCAATTCTCACTAAACCCTAATACAATGATTAGAATCTTTCTTAATTACCTCTCTGATTGTTTAGAAACCCTAAAACAATAATTTATATAGGTGTACAAACATGGATGACAATTTGGTAAATAACCAGACTCAAAACCAACAGGAATTCGTGTGAACAGAAACCCAAACGAACCAGGAAAACAGGAATTCGTGTGAACAGAAACCCAAACGAACCAGGAAACCATCGATGAGTCGACTCGTCCGAAACTGGACAAAACTCACGTGAACAGAAACCCAAACGAACCAGGAAACCATCGATGAGTCGACTCGTCCGAAACTGGACAAAACTCACAAACCAGCGATGAGTCGACTCATGACAGTCATGAGCTCAACCTGATAAGTCGACTCATGACTGTTATGAGTCGACTCACAGGCTAAAAACTGAATACTTCGATTCTTGCTCGTCGTCTCGTTCCACGCTTCCTCCTGCGTTCCCTTGTACTGTTTGACACCTCTATTCTCATGTTATCATGAGAATCATCTATCTTTAAGCTCCCATAAGGATCGCTAAGTTCCGAAGAGAAGATACACCCGTATCATGAGTCCCCTCTTTAGGATCTTGAAGTCCCGTTCAAGTTAGAACTTCTGCTGAGGAAACTCTTGAGCTCCTCCATCTTTTCTGCACCACCTGGCCTTACTAGGAATCCGGCCTCGACGTCCGATCGGAAACAACTCATTCGTCCCGCATCTCGTCGTAGTCACTGTTCGCTCTAAGTTACAATCCTTTGTCGATGGCTTTTCTGAAAGTCTAATACACAGCGAGACAAACTTCTTGCTTGCATTCACTAATCTCTTCGCTCGCATTACCGTCCCCAAGCTTGTCTCCTTCGGAAGAGATGCCGAACGAAATATGAACTTTACATCATTCTCAGTGAAGGTGTACTTCTGAGCCCGCCTCTCGTAGATCGCACATCTATCCCATAAGTACGGATTGCCCAGTATAATCTGACAAACATCCAATGGAACAACGTCGAACGTGACCTCGTCAATATACGACTCGTGGAGCGCAAATCTGACAGTGCCTTGATCAACTACACTCAGTTTCTCCTCCTTCTGAATCCACCTCAATGGATAGGGCTTCAGATGCTTGACCGTCTTCAGACCCAGCTTCTGAACCAATACCTCGGATATCAAATTCTTCTCGCTGCCCGAATCAACAATGGCATCAACCAAACTGGTCTTCACTTGCAACTTAAGAACAAAGAGTTGCTCTCTCGGGTTGTCGTCCTCTTTCGTGGTCTGCTTCCCCGTCATAAGGTTGAGACTGTTGTTGGGCTCTGTCATCCCCAGGACTTCTTTCGAACCTTGAGCTATCATGTATGTCTTTTTCTCCTCCTTCTTCTTCAACCCTCTTAGTTTGAGATGATGATACTTCTTCCAGCACCGATCAACTTCGTGTTCTGTCTTCTCGCAGTGACTACATATCAGTCCTGCTTTTCCTGCATCACCCTTCTTCTTCTCCTCCTTAGATTGAGAACCAATAGACTCGTCTTCCGTCTATTTGGAGTCTCCTTTAGCCTCGTTGCCCTTCTTTTGCTTGCCCTCGATGGCGTTGACCTTCACGCTCGCCTCTGTAATAGTCTCGACCGTGAATAACTTCATCTCCTTCCGGATGTAATCGCTCAATCCCACCATATACTTCATAAACACAGAATATTCCTCTGTCGCAATGTTGAGGACCATCGCCTGCTGCTGGAACTCCGTGGTGTATTCTTGAACTGTTTGATTGACCCTTTGGCGCAAGCCGTACCACTTGTACCAACGCTCTTCAAGGAATCCTACCGGGTAGAACTGCTTCCTTAGTAACTCCTTGAACTTGTTCCACGATACCACCTTTTTCTCCTGCTTGAAGTAGGATTTCCACCACGTCAACGCGTGCCCTGAAAGCTTCAAAGTCGCGAACACAATCTTCTCTTTCAACGAATAGCCATAAAGAGTAAAATACGTCTCCATCCGCTCGATCCAGTCATCAAGCCTCTTGATGTCAACACTCCCATCATAAACAGGAACCTCCACCTTGAAGTCAATCTTCAGGTTTTGATAAGAATTCTTACCCCCTTGATGCAACACAGTCTTAACGGTCTCCTCCTCCTCGTGGAATCTGAATCTACTCTCTCCACGTCGGACTCAACAATTTTCTTCGAAGAAGATTCACCTTGTTTGTCACTTCCATGGATAAGACTGACGAGTTGTGTGAGAGTCGAACCTATCGTCTCGATCTGCTTCTCCAATGCATCAATCCTCGCTGAATTGTCCCCTTCAGTCATCTTCTTCTTCCTTAAAACCTGGACTCCTTCCAATGAAATAAGGATCTCGCCAAGCTTCCTGTATTGGGATCGAGTAAGGACCATACACAGGATGCCCCTTCACGGGATCTGATGCTCTGATACCAACTTGATACGAGTTGTCGTGCGAGCACCTTTGATCACAGAATTATCAAAGGTGGGTTGAGAAGAGGATGACAAAAACACAAGCATAATTCAGTATATAGCGAAGGAAATTACATTCTCTAGATTATGAGTATGAAAAGATTATAATCGCTCTCTCACAATCTCACTAGAATCGAGAATAAACTCTCAATTCTCACTAAACCCTAATACAATGATCAGAATCTCTCTTAATTACCTCTCTAATTGTTTAGAAACCCTAAAACAATCATTTATATAGGTGTACAAACATAGATGGCAATTTGGCAAATAACCAGACCCAAAACTAACAAGAATTCGTGTGAACAGAAACCCAAACGAACCAGAAAACCATCGATGAGTCGACTCATGACTGAGATGAGTCGACTCCTCCGAAACTGGACAAAACTCACAAACCAGCGATGAGTCGACTCATGACAGTCATGAGTCAACTCAACCTGATGAGTCGACTCATGACTGTTATGAGTCGACTCACAGGCTAAAAACTGGATACTTTGAATCTTCTGCTCGTCGTCTCGTTCCACGTTTCCTCCTGCGTTCCCTTATACTATTTGACACCTCTATTCTCATGTTATCATGAGAATCATCTATCCTCAAGCTCCCCATAAGAATTGCTAAGTTCCGAAGAGAAGATACACCCGTATCAACGATACCCTCTCACTTGACCTAGGTGAGCAAGCAGCCGCTTGATCTACGAAGCCCTCTCGCTTGACCTATGAAGACCACCAAATGAGATGGGCATCTATGTGGGCGAGCAGACTCGCTTGACCCGTATGATGGGCCCGCTTAAATTAAGTTTTCTCGTTTCTATACAAACACTTTTATTACACTTTGTTATAATTTCTTTTGTTCTATTTTTTTTTAACTAGTGCAGCAATTATTTTTTGCCCGTGGACATATAACTGGCTTCAAGCTAAGTCTTTTTGTTTGCGATATTTCCCTCTGGCAGTGTATAAAAATATACCATTTTACTTAATAAAATTATTTTTCCTCACTTCTTATAATGGTTAGACGGTTAATTTGTTAATTTCATGTAATTTTTAAGTGTTAAAGAATACTTAGAAAACTATTACAAAATAACAATAGTGAGATAGGTGGGCTAGCCTGTGTTGTGGCCCACCCCGCTTAATCCTGAACCCGCGAGTGGGTTGGGACGAGCTCTAGGCTTGAAAATAAGCAACTAAAGACAGTCAACTGGTATCGTTACGAGCCAGGAGTTGGATTGTCACACTGCTAATTAAGCCCACATGGGCCAGCTCATGGGATGAGCCAACATGCCTCATATATGGGTGGATAGAAAGTTTGGTGGACAACTACCTCTTGTCCACTTAAGTTGACATAAGTTCACGCGCGCGCGCGCGCGCGCGCGCGCGCGCACACACACACACACACACACACACACATATATATATATATATATATATATATATATATATATATATATATATATATA